AGCTCTACATCTTGTTATACCACTTTTCACACTTCTTTTAACAGATTATAGGGTGAGGCGAGCCTCTCTGGGTGTTTCAGTTTTAGTTATCATAGTGGGGTTGACCTCTACTTCATAACATTTTCTATGTTTGTACGAAATATCCAGTGCGCTGTTTTTCTTTTAAAATATTCATTTCTCTTCCCCTACACAGGGTGAGGAAATTGGAATGTTGGGAGAGGTTACACACTTGCAGACTATTCTAGAAGACTTGACAAACCTGACAGCTGACCCCCAGACACTGCCTCCTGCCAGTGAACAGGTGAGTGCCTCTTGGCTCCTCTGAAAAGGGGGGAACTCGAACTCCTGTCAGCATCATTTTCTCTCTCTCCACATTGGTCAGGACCAGTCCAGATGGCCAATGACCACACTGGGCCTTACTCTTTGACCGTAAGAGGTATCACACTCAAAATCCTACCCGCTCCCCCCCCCCACAAACACTGCCCAGCCTAACACCCTTCATACAGCGACTCAGCACAGCCCTGCTCAATTTTACACCCTTTATACAGTGTACAAACTGAAAGAACTGCAGATGCTATAAATCAGAGACAAAAATAGGAATTGCTCGAAAAGCTTGGCAGGTCTGGCAGCATCTGTGGAAAGAAATCAGAGTTGATGTAACTGAGCAGTTCTGAGGAAGGGTCACTTGATCCGAAACGTTGCCTCTGTCCACAGATACTGCCAGCCCTGCTGAGCTTTTCCAGCAATTTCCATTTTTGACCCTTTGTACAGTCACTCAGCACATGCTGGGTTGCAGACGATCACTTGCTCTGTTACAATAGCTGAATAAACTCAGAGTCCCACAGTTCCAAGAGTGACGTTTCTCTGCTGAGACATGCAGGGTTTATGATTGAATGATTTTATTGTTAGGTGGATTTGTTACATGCATTTGTAACAAATACAGTGAAAAGTGTGGTTTAATGTCACTGCGCTCCAGTGCCATCTTAAACAACCAGAAACAAGCCAAACATAAGAGTATAAAGACAGAAAAATAAAGAAATAAAGTTAAAGGTTCAACGTTACAATCCACTTTAAGTTGTTAGCCATGGGCCTGCATTCAGGCTCATCCACCTCGACACTGAGACCAACATCAGCACAAAGCAGATTCAGAGATAGTGGGAACTGCCGATGCTGGAGAATCTGAGATAACAAGGTGTAGAGCTGGATGAACACAGCAGGCCAAGCAGCATCAGAGGAGCAGGAAAGCTGACGTTTCGGGTCTAGATCCTTCTTCAGAAAATTTCTTCAGACCTTTCTGAAGAAGGGTCTAGACCCGAAACGTCAGCTTTCCTGCTCCTCTGATGCTGCTTGGCCTGCTGTGTTCATCAAGCTGTACACCTTGTTATATCAGCACAAAGCAGTTGGCTAGCCTGAAGTCCCTGCACCAACGGTGCACAGGCTAAGCTACATTGTTTTTGAGAATGGCATTGATACTCTATCTAGGAGTAGCCGATAGGTGCAAGAGGCAGCCAAGTTTCTGCATTTCTGAATTACATATTAAAACAATGGGCTTCTCAGCATGGTTATAGCACAGCTATATAACTCCTTCAACATGGTGACACATCCCAGTGTGTTTCACTGGATTAATTAGCAAGCAAGATTTGTTCCCAAATCAGATAAGGAAGTATTAGGACCGGGTGGGAAAGGTTTTAAGGAGCATCATAAAGCACAAGAGTGAAGGCCCAACGAGGTACTGTCTCTACCCCTGGACCCGGGAGGCCTGGGTTCAAGTCCCACCTGCTTCAGTGATGTGTAATGACATCTCTGAACAGGGTAATTAGAAAAATAGGTTACGTGAAAAGAGAGGAGGAGAATGGGGGGTGGGGGTGGGGGTGGGGGCGGGTGCGCCGGGGTTGGAATTTCACTGTTGGGAAAGAAGCAACTAAAGGCCCAACCACCAATCGTTAAATTTGGTGTTTGCTTAAGTGGACCTGGAATTGGAAAATCTCTGAGATTTCAAAGGGCTGTGGCCTGGAGGATGTTACAAATATGGGTGGGCGAGACCATACAAAGATTTGAAAATGAGAAGAGAATTTAAAGTCCAGGATGTTATTTGTATTTGTTTACTTGCTTGTGGATACAATCATGCAATTGTAATCTGTTGCTGGATGAATAATTCAGGGAATATGGTCACAGAGCTGTTTGATTATGATTAAAAATCCAACTGGTTCAGTAATGACCTTGAGGGAAGGAATCGTGTTGTCCTGTCTTTACTCAGACTTGGCCTGTGTGTGACTCCAGACCTACACCATTAGATCAGAGTATAAAGCAGCTTTTATCCAGGTCACTTATAAAGTGGAAGGGCTAGTTTGAAAAACATTGGGCAAATCACTCATCAGACTTGAATTCAAAGTTGCAATACTTGTGTTGGAGCGTTCTAATGTTCAGCTAATCTATTAGAACATAGAACACAGAACATTACAGCGCAGTACAGGCCCTTCGGCCCTCGATGTTGCGCCAACCTGTGAAACCAATCTAAAGCCCATCTAACCTACACTATTCCATTATCATCCATATGTTTATCCAATGACATTTTAAATGTCCTTAAAGTTGGCGATCTACTACTGTTGCAGGCAGGGCATTCCATGCCCTTACTACTCTCTGAGTAAAGAACCTATCTCTGACATCTGTCCTATATCTATCACCCCTCAATTTAAAGCTATGTCCCCTCGTGCTAGCCATCACCATCCGAGGAAAAAAGCTCTCGCTGTCCACCCTATCTAATCCTCTGATCATCTTGTATGTCTCTATTAAGTCACCTCTTAACTTTCTTTTCTCTAACGAAAACAGCCTCAGGTCCCTCAGCCTTTCCTCATAAGACCTTCCCTCCATACCAGGCAACATCCTAGTAAGTCTCCTCTGCACCCTTTCCAATGCTTCCACATCCTTCCTATAATGCGGCGACCAGAACTGTACGCAATAGTCCAAGTGCAGCCGCACCAGAGTTTTGTACAGCTGCAACATGACCTCATGGCTCCGAAACTCAATCCCTCTACCAATAAAACCTAACACACCATACGCCTTCTTAACAACGCTATCAACCTGGGTGGCAACTTTCAGTGATCTATGCACATGGACACCGAGATCTCTCTGCTCATCCACACTACCAAGAATCTTACCGTTAGCCCAGTACTCTGTATTCCTGTTACTCCTTCCAAAGTGAATCACCTCACACTTTTCCGCATTAAACTCCATTTGCCACCTCTCAGCCCAGCTCTGCAGCTTATCTATGTCCCTCTAAAACCTGCAACATCCTTCCGCACTATCCACAACTCACCGACTTTAGTGTCATCTGCAAATTTACTAACCCATCCTTCTACGCCCTCATCCAGGTCATTTATAAAAATGACAAACAGCAGTGGCCCCAAAACAGATCCTTGCGGTACACCACTAGTAACTGAACTCTAGGATGAACATTAGCCAATTTCTGACCTAAACCGCTAAGTCACCCTCAATCCCATGCCTCTGTATTTTCTGCAATAGCCTACCGTGGGGAAGCTTATCAAACGCTTTACTGAAATCCATATACACCACATCAACCGCTTTACCCTCATCCACCTGTTTGGTCACCTTCTCGAAGAACTCAATAAGGTTTGTGAGGCACGACCTACCTTTCACAAAACTGTGTTGACTATCCCTAATCAAATTGTTCCTTTCTAGATGATTATAAATCCTATCACTTATAATCCTTTCCAACACTTTACCCACAACCGAAGTAAGGCTCACTGGTCTATAATTACCAGGGTTGTCTCTACTCCCCTTCTTGAACAAGGGGACAACATTTGCTATCCTCCAGTCTTCTGGCACTATTCCTGAAGACAATGACGACATAAAGATCAAAGCCAAAGGCTCTGCAATCTCCTCCCTAGCTTCCCAGAGAATCCTTGGATAAATCCCATCCGGCCCACGGGACTGATGTATTTTCACACCTTCCAGAATTGCTAACACCTCCTTATGAACCTCAATCCCGTCTCGTCTAATAGCCTGTATCTCAGTATTCTCCTCGACAACATTGTCTTTTTCCTGTGTGAATACTGACGAAAAATATTCATTTAGCGCCTCTCCTTTCTCTTCGGACTCCATGCACATCTTCCCACTACTGTCCTTGACTGGGCCTAATCTTACTGTAGTCATTCTTTTATTCCTGACATACCTATAGAAAGCTTTAGGGTTTTCCTTGATCCTACCTGCTAAAGACTTCTCATGTCCCCTCCTGGCTCTTCTTAGCTCTCTCTTTCGGTCCTTCCTGGCTAACTTGTAACTCTCAAGCGCCCTAACTGAGCCTTCACACCTCATCTCTACATAAGCCTCCTTCTTCCTCCTTGACAAGAGATTCAACTTCTTTAGTAAACCACGGTTCCCTCGCTCGACCACTTTCTCCCTGCCTGACAGGTACATACTTCTCAAGGACACGCAGTAGCTGTTCCTTGAACAAGCTCCACATTTCAATTGTGCCCAGCCCCTGCAGTTTCCTTCTCCATCCAATGCATCCTAAATCTTGCCTAATTGCCTCATAATTGCCTTTCCCCCAGCTATAACTCTTGCCCTGCGGTATATACCTATGCCTTTCCATCGCTAAAGTAAACGTAACCGAATTGTGGTCACTATCACCAAAGTGCTCACCTACCTCCAAATCTAACACTTGGCCTGGTTCATTATCCAGTACCAATTCTAATGTGGCCTCGCCTCTTGTTGGCCTATCTACATACTGTGTCAGGAAACCCTCCTGCACACATTGGACAAGAACTGACCCATCTAAAGTACCCGAACTATAGCGTTTCCAGTCAATATTTGGAAAGTTAAAGTCTCCCATAACAACTACCTTGTTACTTTCACTCCTATCCAGAATCATCTTTACAATCCTTTCCGCTACATCTCTGGAACTTTTCGGAGGCCTATAGAAAACTCCCAACAGGGTGACCTCTCCTTTCCTGTTTCTAACCTCAGCCCATACTACCTCAGTAGACAAGTCCTCATCAAACATCCTTTCTGCCACCGTAATACTGTCCTTGACTAACAATGCCACACCTCCCCCTCTTTTACCACCTTCCCTGATCTTACTGAAACATCTAAACCCCAGAACCTGCAACAACCACTCCTGTCCCTGCTCTGTCCATGTCTCCGAAATGGCCACAACATCGAAGTCCCAGGTACCAACCCATGCTGCAAGTTCACCCACCTTATTCCGGATGCTCCTGGCGTTGAAGTAGACACACTTCAAACCACCTTCCTGCCTGCCGGTACACTCCTGCGACCATGAAACCTTATTCATGACCTGACTACTCTCAACCTCCTGTACGCTGGAGCTACAATTCAGGTTCCCATCCCCCTGCTGAATTAGTTTAAACCCACCCGAACAGCATTAGCAAATTTCGCCCCCAGGATATTGGTACCCCTCTGGTTCAGGTGTAGACCATCCCGTTTGTCGAGGTCCCACCTACCCCAGAATGAGCCCCAATTATCCAGGTACCTGAATCCCTCCCTCCTGCACCATCCCTGTAGCCACGTGTTCAACTGCTCTCTCTCCCTATTCCTCGCCTCGCTAGCACGTGGCACGGGTAACAAATCAGAGATAACAACTCTTGTTTGTTCTAGCTCTAAGCTTCCGCCCTAGCTCCTTGAATTTTTGCCTTACATCCCCATCCCTTTTCCTGCCTATGTCGTTGGTGCCTATGTGGACCACGACTTGGGGCTGCTCCCCCTCCCCCTTAAGGATCTCGAAAACACGATCCGAGACATCACAGACCCTGGCACCTGGGAGGCAACACACCAACCGCGAGTCTGTCTCGTTCCCACAGAATCTCCTATCTGTCCCCCTAACTATGGAGTCCCCAATGACTAATGCTCTCTTCCTCTCCCCCCTTCCCTTCTGAGCAACAGGGACAGACTCTGTGCCAGAGACCTGTACCCCATGGCTTACCCCTGGTAAATCGTCCCCCCACAACAGTATCCAAAGCGGTATACTTGTTTTTGAGGGGAACGGCCACAGGGGATCCCTGCACTGTCTGCCTGTTCCCTTTCCGTCCCCTGACTGTAACCCATCTACCTTTTTCTTGTACCTGAGGTGTGACTACCTCCCTGTGACTCCTCTCAATTACCCCTGGAGTTGGGTGCACTTCCCGCAGATGAAGTCAGTGGGGACACTCGTGGTGACCCTTACCTCCCACATTCTACAGGAGGAGCATGAAACTGCCCTAACATCCATTCCCACTGTTCTGAATTCCCAAACAGACTATTGAAAAAAAAAGAAAAACTAGTAACCTTACCAAATCGGTGCTCGGAACCTTTTTTTTGGTTAGAGGGGGAGGATGGGTGGGAGACACTACCTCGGTAGTGTTTCAGGTAAAGCAACCACCCAAATATATTACCTCACTTACTCAGCCGTCCCGTGTCCGCTCCTGCTCAGCCCCCTGGTCCTCGCTCTCACTGCTGCTGCAAAAATGGAGTCGCGTGAGGTAAGACTTTTATAATCGAAAAGCTTACCTTCCCAGGGTGCCCTCGCACTTCCTCCCGGACTCCCGCCGTTGAAACAACTGCCCTTCCTATTATTACAAACAGTGGCAGGTTAATTGTTTCCCACTGCTCCTCTGACCAGCCACATTTCTGACTCTGGTTGTCTTTTTTTTTATCAACAGGTGATCTTGGATTTGAAGGTGGCAGATGATTATGACTACACATACCACACACCGCCCTCATCACCCAGCAGCTCTCACTCTCGGAGGGGCACTGTAAGCAGGTGGGTGGTTAGCTGGTTTGCCAGGCACTCATTGGTTTCTCTGTGTTATTGTTTTAGCCAGCAATGACTGTAGTCTCACCCCTTCCTACATGTTCTTCCTCATTTTGCACCCAGACTGTTTTCAGAAGGAAAGTCATTCTCGCCAAATTCACTTAAAGGGATTCCTCTAGATTTTTTAAAAGTTAAGCTTGACTTCAACTAAAAACACTGATTTGGCCTTTCCTGGTGATACCTTATAGGTCCCACCTGAAGCTTAGTAAATTGCTGACACACTGCACAGTGGACTGGTCCTTGAACTAAAGTATCTTTCATAAAAATAACTCTGGTCTGTATATTATGAAAATGATAACGTGCAGGAAATATTGACAGGCTGGGCTGTTTTCTCTAAAAAGAAGATCTGGTTTAAAATTGTGAATTGTTTCGATAGAGTGTTTATGATCAAATTGTTTCTATTTTCAGTCAAGGACAGAACCTGAGGCAGTAAATATAAGGTCCATAAATAAGTCCAAAAAGGAACTCTGAGAAACCTCCATCTTCAACAATCAAGCAAGTGCTATAAAAGGAAACTAACCGAGATTTTCTCTTCCCATTCCCTCAGCGTATACCATTACCCACAAACTACAGGGAAACATCCCAGTATTCCTAACTTCGAATCTGCCTCTCCATCAATGGAAACACTTCATATACAACCTCCATCTGTCTCAACAGCTGATGGCACCAGCCAGGTAAGAATGGAATCTGACTGCAAGCCAGCCTTGCTGTCATAGTGTACTGAGTCATGATGTCTGTCCTGTGCTATATTGTTGCATGGACAAGGTCTCTGTTCCATTGGAGGGTCAGTTCTGCATGAAAATCCAAACTGAGGCACTAAGACATTGAAGGTCTGATTGTTGCAGGAGAAATGGGGAAGGAGTCTGGGCCTGTTGGTTCTGGAGTTTAGAACCATGAGAGGTAATCTGATTTAAACAAGCCCAATTCTTATAGTGCTCAGCAGGATAGAAACAGAAAGAATGTTTCTGCTGGCTTGGGGTGGTGGTGGGGGTGTTCTAGAACAAGGGGACACAGTCTTACTGACACCTGGGGTTCTCCACTTCCTCAAACCTGAAAAACATCCATTTATCTTTACTCCCTGTTTCTTATCATTCAGCTGATTTCACACCCAACAATATGTTGCAGCTGCCCCTTTTATTCCGTGAGCTATAGCTTTGCTAAAATGTTTGTTGGGAGGCACTGTAGCAGAGATCTTTGGTAAGTCCACCACATTAGCTGCCTTGCTCTCAGCAACATTCTCTGTTACCTCTTCAAAAAATTTTTAAGAAATTCAAATTCAGTTAAACACAATTTTCTCTTGATAAATCTGTACTGTCTTTCCTTAATAACCCACATTTGTAGATATTAAAGACATGAAGGGATAATGGAAAAATACTGTTGGGGTAGATGATGCAGTCTCTAATTGAATACTGGAGCAGGCTAGGGGGGACAGAATAGCCCAATCCTGATCCAATTTCCTAAGTTCCTTAAGTTTGGCTGAGTTTCCCAACTTGGCCCATGGTCTACAGTGGAATTGTAGAGATTATCCATTGGGAAAGAGATGGAGCACCTCCCCTGTTTTGCTGGATTATGTAGCATGTCCGTAATTCAGGGAGATATCGATCCAGTTGTTATGTTGTGGTGACTTTTTTGTTTGTCCTCAATGCTGTTCCGCTCTGGCTGAATGCACTGTCTCTCAGTGGGGTGCTACCTAAATGCACTATCCTAGTACAAAACTTTACTGTCTGGGGATATTGTGAGGGATTCAGAATGGTTCTGGGAATGAGGAGAAATCACTGATATGGGTTTCATTTCATTGGAATAAAGATCACCAGCAAATCTGGTGAAGATGTTCCCAATGATGAGGGGTTTTAATAGAAAACATCACCAAAAACTGTTTCCACTGATAACCAGAGTGCATCAATTTGAATGACAGCAAATGAACAGAAGGAAGGGTGAGGATGATGTAATACTGTTCAGTTGCTGGAGCGCAGGACATCTGTTCAGAAACTGGGGGAAACAAATAAAAGTACATAGGACCATACAAACAAAGGCCAACAGTAAGCCATTTGTCCCTCCGAGCCTGCTCCACCATTCAGCAGGGTAATGGCTGATCTGATTGCAGCCTCAAATCTGTGCTCCCAGCCATTCCTCATGACCTTTCCCCATCTTGTACAACAAGAATCTATCTACCTCTACTTTAAAAATATTCAAGAACTCTGTTCCTGCCACCTTTTCAGGAAGAGTGTTCCAAACACACACTGTCCTCTAAGAGAAAAAAATCATCTCATCTGTTTTAAATTGGCAAACCCTGATTTTTAAACAATGACCCCTTGGTTCTAGATTCTCCCATAAGAGGAAACATCCTTTCCACATCCACCCTGTCAAGACCCCTCAGGATCTTAGATATTTCAATTACCTCTTACTCTTGTCAGCTACAGTGGATACTGGTCTAGCTTCTCCAAAATTTCCTCATAAGACAGCCCATTTGTTCCAGGTATCAGTCTGGTAAACATTCTGTGAAGTGCCTCCAATGCATTTACATCCTTCCATAAGTAAGGTGATCGATACTGTACACCATACGCCAGATGCAAACTTACCAGGGCCTGTACAACTGAAGCGTAACCTCCCTGTTTTTGTTTTCTACTTCCGTTGCAATAAATGGTGACATTCTGTTAGCTCTCCTATTTATTTGATGTACCTGCATATTAACATTTTGTGATTCATGTATCTACACCTAGATCTGTTTACATTTCAAAACTCTGCAATCTCTCACCTTTTAGGTGATATACCTTTTTGTTCTTCCTGCCAAAATGGACAATGTCACGTTTTTCAATATTATACTTCATTTGCCAGATCTTTGCCCATTCTCTTAACCAGTCTATATCACTCTGTAGTGTCTCTATGTTCTCTTGACAACTTACTGTTCGACCTGTCTTTGTGCCACCAGTAAATTTGGCAACCAACCCTTCGGCTCATTTATCTAGATTGTAAACACTTGTGCCTCCAGACCGATCCCTGTAGCAGACCACAATAATACATCTTACCAACCTGAAAAAGACCCATTTATGCCTACTCTTTGTTTCCTGTAAGCTGCTAATATGCTACTGTCTACACCATAAGCTGTTATTTTCCACAATAACCTTTGATGTGACACCTTAACAAATTCCTTCTGGAAAACTAAGTGTAGTACATCCACCAGTTCCTCAAGAAATTCTGATATATTGATTAAACATGACAGCCCTTTCACAAAGCCATGTTCACTCAACACTTTCCCTATAACAGATATTAAGCCAACTGGCCTGTAATTTCCTACTTTGCATCCCTTTTTAAATAAAGGAGTTGCGCTTGCTGTCTTCCAGTCTAATGGGAAAATTGATAAATATTTGGAACAGCAAACTGTAAAACATTTTGGAGCAATTGTTCGGGGACTGAGTGAAGAAATAATTCAAGGAACTGGCAAAGGTGCGATAAACTGCACGGCTGACCAACATTCAAGAGTCATACAGTGCGGAAACAGACCCTTCGGTCCATCTTGCCGATTCCAGCCAGGTTTCCCAAACTGAATTAATCTCATTTGCTGCATTTATCCCATATCCCTCTAAACCTTTCCTATTCATGCACCTGTCCAAATATCATAGAGTCAAAATGTCATAAGAGTTGTACAGCACGGACACAGACCCTTCAGTCCAATGCATCCGCGCCAACCAGATATCCTAAACTGATCCTGTCCCTTTTGCCAGAGCTTGGCTCTTTTTCCTCTACACCCTTCCTATTCATGTACCCATCCAAATGCCTTTTAAATGTTGTACTTGTACCAGCTTCCACCACTTCCTCTGGCAGCTTATTCCATACATGTACCACCCCCTGTATGAAAAGGTTGCCCCTCAGTTCCCTTTTATATCTTTGCCCTCTCACCTGAAACCTGTGCCCTCTAGTTTTAGACTCTCCTATCCTTGGTTATTCACCCTATCCATGCCCCTCATGATTTTATAAATCTCTGTAAGGTCACCCCTCAGCCTCTTATGCTCTAGGGAAAATAGCCCCAGCCTATTCAGCCTCTCCCTACAGTTCAAACCCTCCAAACCCAGCAACATCCATGTAAGTCTTTTCTGAACCCTATCAAGTTTAACAATATCTCTCCTATAGCAGGGAGACCAGAGTTGAATGCAGTATTCTAAAAGTGGCCTAACCAATGTCCTGTACAGCCACAACGTGACCTCCCAACTCCTATACTTAATGCACTGACCATGAAGGTAAGCCTGCCAAATGCCTTCTTCAGCACTCTGTCTACCTGCGACTTCACTTTCAAGGACTGTGCGCCTGCCCCCCAGGTCTCTCTGTTCCGAACACTCCCCAAGGCCCTGCCATTAAGTATATAATTCCTGCCCTGATTTGCCTGACTAAAATGTAACACCTCAGTTATCTAAATTAAACTCCATCTGCCACTCGTTGGCCCAATGGCCCATCTGATCAAGGTCCCATTGTTCTCTGAGATAACCTTCGCTGTCCGCAACACCAATTTTGGTGTCATCTGAAAACTTACTAACCATGCCTCCTATATTCTCATCGAAATCATTTATATAAATGACAAAAAACAGTGGATCCAGCAGTAATGCTTTGCAGCACACCACTGGTTGCAGGCCTCCAGTCTGAACAACCACCCTTCACCACCGCCCTCCGTCTCCTACCATCGAGCTAATTTTCTGTCCAGTCGGCTTGCTCTCCCTGGATCCCATGTGATCTAACCTTACTAACCGGTATACCATGCAGAACCTTTTTGAAGGCCTTGCTAGAGTCCATGTAGGCAAGGTGTACCACTCTACCTTCATCTATCTTCTTGGTCATCTCTTCAAAAAACTCAGTTTGTGAGACACGATTTCCCATGCACAAAGCCAAACTGACTATCCCTAATCAGTCCTTGCCTTTCCAAATGCATGTAGATCCTATCTCTCAGAATCCCCTCCAACAGCTTAACCACCATTGACATCAGGCTCATCGGTCTGTAGTTCCCTGGTATTTCCTTGTAGATTTTCTTAAATAATGGCACATTAGCCACTATCCAGTCTTCCAGCACCTCACCCATTGCTGTTGATGAGACAAATATCTCTGCTAGGGACCCTGCAGTTTCTTCTCTAGCTTCCCACAATGTCCTGGGACACGCCTGATCAGGTCTCGGGGATTTATCTACCCTTGTGCATTTTAAGACCTCCAGCACCACCCCTTCTGTAAGGGGGACTCTCTTTAAGACTCCACAGTAAATACTGAGGTGAAATATTCATTTAGTATCTCACCCATCTCCTGTGGTTCCGCACATCGACAGCCTCGTTGATCTTTAAGGGGCCTATTCTCTCCCTAATTACTCTTTTGCCCTTAGTTTACTTGTGGAACATCTTTGGAATCTCCTTAACCTTAACTTCCAAAGCTATCTCATGTCCCTTTTTTTCCCTCCTGATTTCCCTCTAAAGTGTACTCCTACACCCCCATACTCCTACAGTGATTCACTCGATCCCAGCTGTCTATACCTGACATATACTTCTTTTTTCTTGACCAGAGCCTCAGTATCTCTAGTCATTAGTGGCCATTACAGAAACTTGGGTAACTCAGGGACAGGAATGGTTGTTGGAAGTTCCGGGATTTAGATGCTTTAAAAGAAATAGGGAGGGTGGTAAAAGAGGCGGCGGAATGGCATTGCTAGTCAGGGCTAGTATAGCAGCTACTGAAAGGCAGTTCGAGAACGATATGTTTACAGAGTCAGTTTGGGTTGAGGAACAAGAAAGGAGCAGTCACTTTGTTGGGGGTTTTTTACAGACCCCTAATAGTTGCGGAGAAGCGGATTGGGAGGCAGGTGCTGGAAAAGTGCAGAAGTCACAGAGTTGTAGTCATGGATGACTTCAACTTTCCAAATATTGATTGGAAACATTTCAGTTGTAATAGTTGAGATGGAGCGGATTTTGTCCAGTGCATTCAGGAAGGATTCCTGACACAGTGTGTAGATAGACCAACATGAGGAGAGTCCACTTTGGATTTGGTGCTTAGCAATGAACCGGGGCAAGTGTTAGACCTGATGGTGGGAGAGCATTTTGGCAGTAACGATCATAACTCTTGTTACTTTTACAATAGTCATGGTAAAGGATAGGTACATACAGCAGGGTAAGGTTTGTAATTGGGGGAAGGGTAATTACAATTCTGTTAGGCTAGAACTGGGTAACATAAAATGGGAACAGATGCTGTCAGGGAAGAGCACTGTAGACATGTGGAGATTGTTTAAGGAATGCGTACTGTGTGTGCTCGATATGTTTGTCCCTAGCAGGCAGGGAAGATGCAGTCGAGTGAGGGAGCCTTGGTTCTCGAGAGAGGTCGAACGACTGGTTAAGAGGAAGAAGGATGCTTATGTAAGGTTTAGGAAACAAGGATCGGAAAAGGCTCTAGAGGGATACAAGTTAGCCAGGAAGGAGCTGAAGAAAGGGCTTAGCAGAGCTATAAGGGGTATGAGAAAACCTTGGCAGATAGGATCAAGGAAAACTCCAAGGCTTTTTACACGTACATGAGGAATAAGAGAATGACCAGATTACGGGTAGGGCCGATCAAGGATTGTAAAGGAATTTGTGCACGGAGCCTAAAGAGATAGGAGAGGTCCTTAATGAATACTTTTCTTCAGTATTCACAACTGAGAGGAATCTAGTTGTAGAGAAGGACAGTATGAAACAGGCTGGTAGGCGAGAGGAGGTCGATGTTAGTAAGGAAGATGTACTAGGAATTTTGAGGAAATTGAAGATAGATAAGTCCACCGGGCCTGATGGGATTTATCCAAGGATTCTATGGGAAGTGAGGGAAGAGATCACAGGGCCTTTGGCGATGATCTTTTTGTCCTCACTGTCCACGGGTATAGTGCCGGAAGATTGGAGAGAGGCAAATGTCATTCCCTTGTTCAAAAAAGGGAATAGGGATAACCCCGGAAATTACAGGCCAGTTAGTCTTGTGTCAGTGGTGGGCAAATTATTGGAAAGGGCTCTAAGAGATAGGATTTATGATCACTTGGAAAGGCACAGTTTGATTCGTGATGGTCAGCATGGATTTGTGAGGGGTAGATCATGCCTCACAAACCTTATTGAATTCTTTGAAGATGTGACCAAACACATGGATGAAGGTAGAGCAGTGGATGTGGTATACGTGGTTTTAAGTAAGGCGTTTGACAAGGTTCCCCATGGTAGGCTCATGCAGAAGGTAAGGAGGCTTGAGATAGGGGGAAATGTGGCAGATTGGATTAAGAATTGGCTGACCCTTAGAAGACAAAGGGTGGTAGTGGACAGAAAATATTCAAGATGGTGCTCAGTTACAAGTGGTGTACCACAAGGATCTGTTCTGGGTCCTCTTCTATTGGTGATTTTTGTAAATGATTTGGATGAAGGAGTGGAAGGGTGGATTAGTAAGTTTGCGGACGATATGAAGGTGGGTCACATTGTGACAGTGCGGAGAGCTGTTCTAGGTTACAAAGGGACATTGATAGGATGCAGAGCTGGGCTGAGAAGTGGCAGATGGAGTTTAACCCTGAAAAGTGTGAGGTGATTCATTTTGGAAGGACAAACTTGAAAGCAGAATACAGGGTTAACGGAAAGATTCTTGGCAGTGTGGAGGAGCAGAGGGATCTGGGGGTTCATGTCCACAGTTCCCTGAAAGCTGCCACCCAGGTAGATAGAGTTGTTAAGAAGGCGTATGGTGTATTAGCTTTCATTAATAGAGAGATTGAGTTCAAGAGCCATGAAGTTATGCTCCAGCTATACAAAAGTCTGGTTTGGCCTCATCTGGAGTATTGTGTCCAGTTCTGGTCGCCTCATTACAGGAAAGATGTGGAAGCATTGGAAAAGGTGCAGAGGAGATTTACCAGGATGTTGCCTGGAATGGAGGGAAGGTCTTACGAGGACAGGTTGAGAGAGCTAGGGCTTTTCTTTTTAGAATGACGAAGGATGAGAGGTGACTTGATAGAGGTGTACAAAATGATCAGAGGTATAGACAGCGTAGACAGCCAGAGATTTTTTCCTCGGGTGGAGGTAGCTATTACGAGGGGGCATAGTTTTAAAGTGAGTGAAGGTAGATATAGGGGAGAAGTCAGAGGTAGGTTCTTTTACTCCGAGGTAGGTTCTTTTACTCCGAGGTAG